GAGAGAGAGAGAGAGAAGCCTGGTCGGCTGGGGGCATCTTGGTAGGAAAATACAAATGGTCCTCATCACTTCACATCTCACAGCACAGGCTCAGCCCCCATCCAGGCCCATGTCGTCGTCAACTCTCCTGCTCCCCACCCAGCTTGGGCCTGGGGGTGGCGGCCTGGGGCGGGCGGCGGGCACGGCAGCCTCCAGCTGAGCTGCACTCTGGGTTTGCAGAGGTTGACAGCTGTCGCTCTTTCTCTGAGGGCTCCTCCAAGGGTCCTCGGAGCCTGGCCTCACGGTCCCCGGACGAGAGTGCTTCACACGGGCCTCAGGGAACCCACAAGCCCCCAGTACCTAATGGCAGCTCTGCCTCCTCTTGGGCTGAGGTCGGTTCACTCTCTGGGCGGCCTCCTTCGACTGGACCTAGGAGACTCCGTGCCGACTGTCACGGGAGGCCCGCACCTGGGCCGCCAGCCCTCTCCTTAGCTTCGCCTTCAAGGCAGCCAGCCTGACTGCCCTCGAGACTTTGCAGTGGGTGCGGCGTCAGTCCAAGGGATTTCTCAGACTTCAGGGGACACCGTGAAGCTCTCTGGCGGCTTTCTTTAAAGCCCCTTTCCTTGCAGCTTGAAGTGAAGAAAGGGCGGCTGACCACACGCCTCGGACTCAGCTCACCTCCCTGAAACCTCCCTCCTCTAACCTCAGCGCCTGACTCCTTGGCTCCCACTCCAGCCCTCAGTGTGGGTAGAGGCTCAGCCACCTCTTCCCTAAATTCTGCTTCACTCATGGGCAGAAGTCAAGGGCTCAGATGGGGCCCCATCGTCTACTCACCCCCTCCCTCCCTCCTCACCCAAGCTGCAGTTCTTGGTCAGCATTTGTAAGACGGATGAGTGCGGACCACCCAAGGACGGGCACACCCAGCATGTGCTAGGAAGGGCTGGGGCCACGGAGAAGAAACTTTATTCTGGCAGCAGGTGCTGTGTGCACCAGGTTGGCCACCAGCCTCCTGGTTCAGTTCCTGGCACTCAGGCTAGAAGCGATGGACGGCTCTGGCTCGGGGAGAGTAGGGAAGGGGGACGCTGTCCACATTCGCCCAGAGCGGGGCCTCGGGCTGATTCCAGAAGACTCAGATGTGGCCTGAGCGGCACTGTTCTCCGCTGATTCACTGGGAGGAGTGCTGCTCTTTCTACTCCGCCCACATCCAGTCTCTGCCTGAGCTTTCTCAACTGTCAGGCAGGTAAATAACAACACCTGCCTCCCAGTTAATTCATGGAAAGCGCTTCCTGACCTATGCTCAGAACTCAGTAAATAAATATTAACTCACAGTGTTTGTCCCTTCAGGCAGGCTCTTGCCCCGGCCACGTGACTCTCCCTTTGTACACCTCAAGCCAGCTGGAGCCGCCCTGAGCAGCCACCTGGGACCTCAGACACCCTGACCCATCTGGCATTTCTTAGGCAGAATCTATCATGAGGCCTTCTGCTGGGGGGCCAGGTTGGAGGGTCTGGAAGAACTCCTAGCACCCCCAGTCTGTCATCCCTGCCATAGGGACAGCAAGGACACTTGGTTCAAGTCGCCTTGGAGAGAGGGCCTCGCTCCCGCATGCCCACAGGGAATGGGAACTGGCATTGCCTCCAGGAAGAAACCTCCAGGGCCACCGGGACCCGGGGACCGGCTTCCAAAGCCTGGCTGGGCGTCAACTTCTGAGACCCTGAACCAGCCTTGGAACTTCCTGGAGCTTCCTCTGCTCAACCAGATGAGAATTTGCTCCCTCAGAGACTGTCGTGGGACGGAAGAAATAGACTGTGACCTCAGAGGGGCTTTGTTTCGCATATAAAGTAGCACTAGCATTTCAGGATTCCAGAATTTTAAAAGCCAGAGAAATAGGTAATTTATCTTTCTCTGTGGCTATTTCTGTCTCTCTGCCAACTGCCGAGTGCCACCCCATCCCCGGGTGACCGGTATTACCGTGGCGCTCTCGAAACAAAACTCCTTTGCAAAAGACAGTGTTCCATTAGCTGGGCCCCAGTTTCTGGACACCAAATTCAAACAGTGGCAGCCTTTTCCCAGTTTACAAGGGGAACATCAAAGTCAGTTTTTTAGGACTACTTCTAATAACTGTGGGCTGGGTAATTTGGACGAAATTTCCAGTTCAGGACAACTTAAAAAGCTGCTCAAAATTTGTGTGTGTGTTGGGGGGGTGGGGTGGCGGGCATTTTGAACAGCTTTTAAAGTTATATTTATTTATTTATTTATTTAATAAATATATGTACATATATATATTTAAGTCTAATTGAGAGTATTGGGAAGGAAACAAAGCAGTGAAGAATTACAAGGCCAAGATCTAGGAAAAGGAGGCAACTCAGAGACACATGCACGGCATCTGGGACTACGTTTTCTGTAGGGGGTCTGCGGATTCTAGAAGATACTGTGAAGCCCTCACAGGAAGGCTACCTGGTAAATGTCTTACGCTTCGGGTTGGAGCCCCAGCGGGCTTCACCCGATGAATACGGATGAATCAGAAGTAGACCAGCCCTTAAAGTAGCTCAAATCATCTCATTCCCTACAAGTAGATGAAAGAGATCTGGCTCACTGCATCCCCGGCCACCTGCCAGATGTAAACATAATCCTCACAGAGGAAGATAACTCTATCCCAGACCTGAAATTACTTGTGCTCAATAAAAAAATTGCCAAGTATGGGAGGAGACAGGACAAAACTAACAAAAAACAAGAGAAACAACAGGCACTAGAAACAGACTAATGGAGGCTCCATATAAGGGGCTAACTGAACTTTAAAATAACTATGCTTAATATGTTCAAATAGATAAAAGATAAAATAGGTAATTTTGAAAGAAAACCGAAAATATTTTAAAAATGGCTTCTATTCCATTTGTAATCCCATCAATTTTGTTTTTTAAATGCAAGGGTACTACTTCCCCCAGGTAGGTCAACAGATGAGTAACAAGCAAAAAAAAAAAAAGAAAAACAAAAAACCCTCTAGGAAAGGCAAAAAAGAGGCAGTCACGCTACATTCAAGGACACTCTTCTGACAGTGATAACAATACATTGTGTATGCACCATTCTAATTTCTAGTAGAAAACTTGTGGCTGGTTTATAAGATGCAGTTAATCATAGACACTTCCAGCCTGGGCAACATGGCAAAACCCTGTCTCTACAAAAAATACAAAAATTAGCCAGGCACAGTGGCACGCACCTGTAGTCCCAGCTATTTGGGAGGCTGAGGCATGAGAATCGCTTAAGCCCAGGAGGTGGAGGTTGCAGTGAGCCAAGATTGCACCCCTGCACTCCAGCCTGGGTGACAGAGCGAGACCCTGTCTCAAAACAAACAAACAAACAAAAACAAACAACACGGACACTCCCTGAAACCCAGCCCACCACAATCTGAAAGGACTTTCTGCCTTTGAACAGAGGCCTGTCTCCCTCTTCCCTTGTACATGCCCAGACACCAGCTCTACCCCCGGCCCAGAGCAGTCATGGCAAACAACGACAATAATAACAGGCAGCTTCCTATGACCGTTTGTTTTGTGCCAGGCCACTGCTAAGGGCTTTCTGTGAATGATCACATTTGATTTGCACAACTCTTTGCGGAGGCTGCCACTCTTCTCCCCATCTTATAAATGGAGAAGCTGAGCGAGCATGTATCACAGCCAGGCTGGGAGTCTAGGTCTGCCTGCTCCTGACAGCAGGCTCCCAGGCTGGGATGCACGCCCTACCTGCATATTGCTGGAATAACTCCTGGATGCCTGCAGCCAGAGGTGACCTTAGAACTCTCCTCTCCATACACACTCATTAAACACCAACCGCGTACAGGGCCCCAGCCGAGGAAACCTGGTTTTAAGGACCCGGAACCAAGTCTCAGGGAGGTGAGAACGCTTTAATGGATCTGAGGTCTGTCCATCTCTTCTCTCTCTCCTCTTCCTCATTTGTGGAACACAGCGTCCAGCACTCAGGGCTGACACAGGGATGGGCTGGGGATGACCCTCGGCCACACGCGCAGGATAGAAGGGGCAGTGCAAAACCCTGTTCTGGCCACCAGACCACTCCTAAGAAAGCTGGGTGGGGGCTGCGGAAGATGCTTCCTTCTGAAGAGGTAAGGGCGAGTCCCCACTGTGGCCCAGGCCCCAGGTCCCTTCCTCAGGAGCCAGCACTCAGAGAGGAGCTAAGTGCTGGTACCCCCATTTCTAACCTGGGTGCAGGCAGGGAGGCTCGGCCTTCAGACAGGCCTCCATCACCCCGCTGGGCACCAATAAATCCAGGATGAGATCTGCAGAGGGCCCAGGGCTCTGGGGCAGTGGAGGGCTCAGGGGCCATGAGGCAGGGCCTGCAGTAGCCCAGACCTAGGCCACGGTGCCCCTGCCTGATTAGTGGTGTTACCTGAGTGGTTTGGTTGGGCAGGGTGGTCCCCTGGGCCAGCAAGCTAGCAGTGGGGATATGGTGACGAGGGGACAAAGGGAGGAAGCAAAGGGCCAGGAAGGGCATAAGCGGGAAGTGGGAGCCAGCGGGGAGGCCAGATGAGGATGGGGTGGGGGGCGAGGAGCTCAGAGAGGGGCAGAGGGAGGCTTGGCACGGGGAGGACACACGGGAATGGGAGTGGGGTTGGACGAGGCCTCTGTCCCACCCCAGGGTCCAGGCTCCGGCAGGTGGAGAACAGGCTCTTCCCGTGAGGATGCCACCAGCAGGGGGGTGAGGGGTGGCACCTGGAGGGACCTGATGGCTCTGCAGCTGCATGGAAGTCCCACGTGATTCTGAGAGCGAATGATGGGGGTCGTGAGCAGAAAGAGGTGGAAAGGAGCAGGCAAGGTCGGGCCAGGTAGGTCGGAATTAGGGACAGTCCAGGCCTGGATGCCAGCCTGGGCTCTGGGGCAAGAGCTACCGAAGTCCTGTGGCCCAGGCTGAACCAAAGGGGAGGACAGGCAGCCTTGGGGTCAGCTCACCCTGTCACGGATTAAGAAGGAAACGGGTGAAGAGGAGGGAGGGGAGAACAGGGCTGTCAGCCCCGCTGCTGGACGGGCCACACCCAACACCCAGACCCCACCATGTCCCCAAGCCTTCCTGCCCTCCGAGGCCCCGGAAACCCCAGGCCCCAGCCCCTCCCCACCCCACTCACTCAATCCCTGGCAGGGAGCAATTAAGCACGCTGGGGAAAACTCACCCACAGGCCCTACAGCTTCAGGGAAGTAACCCGGGGGATGTGGAAGAGCTGAGTCTCCTCAGAGCTGGTGGAGCTGCAGCGTCGAAGACAGAGAGAGCATGGCCTCACCCCAGACCCTCAGCCCAGACACAGGGACAAACCCAGAGCCCTGAGAGTTTTTCCTCGGAAGCCCTCGGGGGGATGGGAAGGGTCCCTCGAACCTGCGCCCGAACGGATGCAGCAAGAAGGACAAGGGGCAGACGTACGGGGGAACTTCCTGGCTCTCCAGGGCTTGGCCATGAGCCTCCTCTGCCTGGGAGGCCTCAGGAGGGGCTGTGACAGGGGACCTGGCTGCGGAAAGGACACCTCCCTGGCCCCTGACGCTGCCCGCAGCCCTGGCAGCCCCTCACCTGAGGCGTTTCCGGATAGGACGGAAGTATTTGGAGGTCTTGACAGCAAAGATGATGCTGGGGATCAGGAAGAAGGTGCACCACGCCAGGCAGAACCAGAAGGCATTCTGCAACAGGGCTTGAGGTCGGCTCACCAACCCACGTGGTACCCAGCCCCACCCAGCTGCCTGGTCATCGGAGCCGGGGCAGGGGCCATGCCTGGCTTCACTCCCTGCTCACCCGGCCCTCCCTGAGAGCAGGAAGGCTTGGGGACTTGGTGGACGAGCCCTGATGAGCTGCGGCACTCACCCAGGGGTCAGCCACCATATCACACAGGATCACACGGCTGTTGTCCACGGCCCCGGAGAGGGGCTGGCAAGTGGCGATGCGCTGAGTCACCTGTGGTGCCAACACGAGGCAGGTGACACAGAGACACCCGGACCCACAGGTGCACACCCACATTCAATTCAGGGAGAGTGGTTGACAGGGACGCAGATAGGCCTGGGGACACCACTGGGGCCACCGCACACTCGTACACACATGCAGAGAGGCAGGTACAGACAGATGGGGACATACCCCACAGGCTCCTCGCTGGCCCTCCCCTTTCCATCTGTTCACCAGCCTGGCCTACTACGACCCAGCACCGTGCTTCAAGCCACTCTCACTGGGGAGGCAACACGTGTGTGTGCATGCGTGCACACACACACACACACAGGCACACAGACACACTCAGGGTACACCCAGACCCCTGCCACCTAGTGTGGGGTCCAGACAGCTGGCAGAGGCTGTGTTCAGCAAGGGTCTGCAGCGGGAGGTGGGCTTTGAGGATTGGCCTTGGACAAGCTGGGGAAGGGCCGGCCCAGGGAAGAACCTGCAGGCCAGGTGTGAGGAAACATTTTGGAGAACGCCAACCCTGCTCACACTCAGCTAAGGGAAGGGCTGCAACAGAGGTGGGGTGGGCAGAGCTTGGCCAGCAAGCAGGGGTGCAGATGCCAGGTTTGGGAGTTTGGGTTTGATCCTGAAGGCCTGGGTCACCCCCAAGGGGCTCTGGGGGCGGGGGCAGGGCTGAGCAGAGGGAACCGCTGGTCTGCTGGGGCAGGGAATCGGTCATTGCTCTGAGGCCCCACTTACCTCCTCTCTTACCCAGGCCATGTATTGGGAGAAGTAGCCCATCTCCCGGGCCAGGAAACACTCGCTCACCTGCAGGAAGGAGAGGAGGTCTGGGCCGCAGGGGTCCCGGAAGCCCCCTGCCCGCGCCACCTCCCATGTGTGGCAACTTGAGGACGGTCCCAGCTTTCCTGGGAGCCACAGTGAGAAGCAGGGAGTGGAGAAGTCTCGGGGGAAGCCCCTTCCCCGTCCCACCCACCACTCACATTCCTCAGGATCCTGGTGGCCCAGGCAGGCAGCTCTCCTTTCAGGTAAGTGACATTGGCTAGGACATCTGAGGTCTCCAGCTGGAGGGGACGAGAGCCTCAACTCAGTGCCCCGCATTCACGCATCCATTCATTAATTCAACACACACCAAGGCACACTCAGCGGGAGAGGGTTTGGCCCCGACAGACAGGCCAAGGGTGGTGATCCCCCAGGCTCTGCCGCCACCCCCATCTTCCTCCCGACCCCACCCACAACCTGGGCAGAGCTCTGAGGTCCAGAGTGAGATGGGCTCCTACTTCCTGCCTCCCTCTGCAGCCCCCCTGCTCCACCATACGTCCCCACCACCAGCAGCCACCTGGAGATTCGGGGCAGAGGACTCCAGGGCCCTGACGCTGAGGTTGAGCTTCGCCTGTGGAGAAGAGATCAGGGCTGGTTAGGGGAGGGGAAGGGAAGGGGAGGGGAGGAGAGGGGAGGAGAGAGGAGAGGAAGGGAAGGGAGGGGAGGGGAGAGGAGAGGAGAGGAGAGGAAGGGAAGGGAGGGGAGGGGAGAGGAGAGGAAGGGAGAGGAGGGGAGGGGAGGGGAGAGGATAGGAAGGGAGGGGAGAGGAGGGGAGAGGAGAGGAAGGGAGGGGAGAGGAGTGGAGAGGAGAGGAAGGGAGGGGAAGGGAGGGGAGGGAACAGATTCTCAGAGCTTCCCTCCCCTTTCACTGTCCCCTCTCCAGCTCTCCCCTCCCCCAGGCCCCAGGCTCCCTGGGCCTGCAAACTGACCACAAGGCTCTGCTGGGGAACGACCTTCTCCTGGTGAAGGTTTCTGAGTCCGTGGGCCTCCTCCTGCAGCCGCTGCCCCAGCACAGAATTGCCCTGAAAGGATATAAAAATCAGAACGGCCCCACCCAGGACACATGTACCCCTCACCCAGGCTTTCACTCCGACATACCAAGGGGAAGTGAGAGGCAGAAAACCGAAGCCTCCATAAGCTCCAGGGCCTGATCTGGGTTTGGGGGGCCTAGATCCAAGTTCTAAGTTCACTCTAGCTTGCTGGGTGTCCCTGTCAGTCACAGAACATGCCTGAGCTGCAGGGGCACCTGCGGAAATTGAGGATGCTCCTGGCTCTGCCCACCCTGTGGGGTTGTTGCGGGGCCTATGTGATGTTTCAAAGAGAACTTTTAAACCCTAAATAGCTACAAATATAAAATGCGATTTTTCCCCTCAAGGGCAACTGCCATGACATCTCATTCATCCCAAAGTCCTCACAGCCCCTGTCCCAGCAAATCCCCCAGTGGCACACATAGAAACACCTGCCCAACTGCGTGAGGCCAGAAAGTTACTTCATCTGCTCTGAGACAGAGGACAGTCCACCCAACAGATGAAGAAGCTCCGGCTCAGAGACGCTGCATGTCTTGCCCAAGGCCACACAGCCAGTGGGTGGCAAAGCTTGAGTAAGAACTGATGCTGCAAAACCATCCAGCCCAGCCAGGGGTCAGGAGCCTCAGGCCTCACTGGTGGTGGTCCTCAGTCCCCTGCCTTTGCCCTCACATCCCCCCACCCTCTCCTGCCTCCCAAGCCCCCCATTTCTCCTGCTGCCCAGTGGGGGCCCTTGCTTCCCTCTCACTTGGGCCTGGGCCAGTCCTTCCAGCTCCTGGGCCAGCTGCTCCGTGCTAGTCTTCACCACAGGCCTCTGGATCTGCAGGTGGACAGGAGAGGCCAGGAGGGATGAACCCAGCTCCCCTGGGACCCACAACCACCCGCTCCCAGCCTCCAAATCCCGTCTTATCAAATAGAACTGACACCAGCTAAGGGTTTTGTGACGCATGAGTCACAGTGGATTTTCCCTGGAACTGTGAAATATTTCAGACATTTTCCCAATGAGACGGAAACAACGAGAACAAATAAGGCACCTCTGGTGTAACTTGAGGAAGAGGCGACTTCCCACTGTGTCCGCCACAGCAGTGGGTTCAGAACCATGAACAGTGACACACGCTGTTGGGTTAGGGGAGAGGGCGCCCATTCCCGTGTGACCTGGGTGGTGGCAGGAGGACGGGCCCAGGGACACATGATCTGGGGACACCTCCACAGGAAGAGGCCCCAGGAAACGTGGAAGAGCCCAGAGCCGGGATAAGGCGAGATGCACACCCGGCTCCTCTGTGGGCCCCTTCGTTCCGTCACCACCTGGCCGAGGAAGCCCCACTGAGGTGCCCACCGCTGACCTGAACGAGGAAGTCGGGGTAGTGGACGCGCTGGAGCCCACTGCTCTGCAGGGCCTCCAGGTCCCGGCGGGCGGCTGAGCTCAGCAGGTCCAGGCTCTGTGTGTCTACCTTCAGGCTCTGCAACTCCTGCCACAGCTTGTTGGTATACTGGGAGGGTGGGGACAGGGTGGGGGTCATGCCCAGTTGCTGAGCTAGGACCCCAGAGATGCTCCCCTAAGCGAGGCGGTCACCAGGCGATATGGTCTGGATATTTGTCCCCTCCAAATTTCATGTTGCAATGTGACCCCCGGGTGTTGGGGGTGGAGGTGGGCCTGGTGGGAGGTACTAGATCACGGGGGCGGATCCCTCACGAAGGCCTTAGTGCCGCTGCCCGGGTGATGAGTGAGATTTTACCCAGTTAGTTCACGTGAGACCTGGTTGTTTGAAAGAGCGTGGCACCTCCGCACTGGCTCTCTCGTTCGCTCTCTCCCTGTGTGACGCGCTGGCTCTCTCGTTCCCTCTCTCGCATCTCCGCACTGGCTCTCTCGTTCCCGCTCTCCCTGTGTGATGTGCTGGCTCCCCTCGGCCTTCCACCATGAGTGGAAGCTCCCTGAGGCCTCCCCAGAAACGGGTGCTGGTGCCACGCTTCCTGTACAGCCTGCACTGAAACCTCTTTTCTTTATAAATTATGCAGCCTCAGGTGTTGCTTTTTTAAATTTTTGGTTGGGGGAGGGGACAGGGTCTTGCTCTGTTGCCCAGGCTGGAGGGTAATAGCACAAACACAGCCCACTGAAGCCTGGACCTCCTGGGTCCCAGTGATCCTCCCACCTCAGCTTCTCCAGTAGCTGGGACTACAGGTGCAAAACACCACACCTGGCTTTAAAAAAAAATTGTATAGAGGGGGTCTCCTCATGTTGCCTAGGCTGGTCTTGAACTCCTAGGCTCAAGTAATCCTTCCACCTCAGCTTCCCAAAGTCCTGGGATTACAGGCGTGAGCCACCATGTCCAGCCTCAGGTATTCCTCTACAGCAACACAAGAACAGACTCACATGGCAGGCCCTCAGGGCCCCCTGCCCTGGACACCCTAAGCCCCAGACAGGCTCCCCATAGGCCCCTGTCCCAAATGCCAAGACCTGGCCTTCCTCCAGTGCCTATCTGGCTTCTGGGCCAAGACACAGACCTTTCCTGGCCACCTGAAATAAAATAGCTCTCCCATCCCCTCTTTATCCCGTCAGCTGTGTCAAGGCCTTCAAAGCGCTTGTTGCTGTGAAATGATGTTACTTGTAGGTTAATTGTTCATTGCTGTCAGCTCCACGAGAGCGGGGCTTTGCCTGCCTGTTCTGCCCCCAACCCCCAGCATCTAACTCAGAGGCTCATACGTGGTGGGCAGGGTACAAGTTTGTTAGTTGTGTGAATGAGTGAATGAATGAATGAATGAATGCACGCAACTGCATTTTCAGGAAAGAGCCTCAGCATTTTCCTACTATCGCTGGAAGAGATTTAGACGTCATAAAATGCAGCCCGAGTGTTCAACAGATGAGAAACTGAGGTTAGAGTGGAGCGTCCACTTGCCAAGGTTACACAGCTGGTTAGAGACGGTGGCCCAGCTTGGCTCTCCTCCCCGCATCCCTCCAGGCTGCCTTCTCCTGGAGGAGAAAAGGCCTGGCCCTCTCGGGTGGGGGCCTTCAGGCCGTGTCTCAGGCATCAGTGGCAGCAGCTTCACGAGAAGTGGGGAGGTGCGTGGTGCCCTCCCCGTGCTCTGGAAAGCCCTGTGTCCTACTCATGTCTGCGTACCCATCCGTATCTCCTTTGAGGACAAGGATTCTTACAACCACTTTGGGTACGTTGTCAGGTGGCCTCAAAGGACTGCCCAGTGCATCCGAATCCAAAGCCCAGGACTCCTCCCATCGAGAGCCATGGCTTCCCGCCAGCAGGGGATGGGGGCTCCTCTGCCCAGGGCCCTGGTTCATCCCTCCCTCCCTGGCCAGCCTTCCTCCACAGGGCAGTGTCTCAGCCTAGCACTGAGATATCGCCTGCTCCAGCGGCCTCCTGTCTGGTTAAAGATGTGGAAGGAGGAGTGAGCTGCATGACTGTCCCAGGTTGTGTAGTTCAAGACACAGAGTTGGGACTGGGCCATGTGGCTGTGCCGTCCGTGGGCCGAGGCTGGTTGGTTGATCCAGGGGTTGGAAGGGTTTCCCGGGACGATGCAAAATCAGGAGTTAGCATGCTCTGTGTCTGGGGAGGGAGAGGGGCACCGGGGCCGGGGATGGGGGGTTTCCCCAGCATGTGTTTAGGAGCCTGGAAGTCGAGGAGGGAATGTCTTCCGGCTTCTGTGCACCATGAGGAGAACCCCGTTCTCAACGTCCATCCCTCTTGTGAAACAGCCCTTCCTTGCCTTCGTTCTAGAACGGTCTCTCGCCAGCATTGGCGAGCGTCTCCAGCTCTGCACACCAAGTCCCAGCAAAGCCCAGAGGCTCCAGGAAGAGGCTGGTTTGTCAGCCTGGGGGTGGAATCCTGCCGCCGCCACCTCCCACCTGCGTGAGCTTGGCAGGCCCTCCCCCAGCGTTAGCCAGACCCACCGCCGTCCGTGTCACTGCCACGTCCTTCCCCACCCTCCCCCTCCCAAGTAGAGCATCCCGGCCAATGCCTGTCCTCAGTCAGGACACGTGTGCCCCCCGTCCTCCTGCTCATTGTCACCAGCTTTTCCTGCTGCCACCTTGGCTGTGCTTGGGGCTGGACATAGCCTCCAGGTGCACACGGACCCACCCACACACCCGGAACCTTCCCCAGAGCTGGTGACTGGGCCTCTGCCCTCGGGCACCTTAATCGCTCACACAGACTTCTCGGGTCTCCTGGGTTCAAAGAGACCGTGCCTCCACAGAGGCAAAAAGACCGGAGGAGGGGATCTGAGGAGGGATCTGGGGAGGGGATCCGGGCAGGGGATCCGGGGAGGGGATCCGAGGAGGGATCCGGGGAGGGGATCCGGGGAGGGGATCCGGGGAGGGGATGTGAGGAGGGGATGTGAGGAGGGGATCCGGGGAGGGGATCC